AGCTGCCATTCGACACAAACACTCGCCACTTCAAATCAACCCTGAGACGCTACCTACTCAGAGAACTGTATGGCTGACCTGATCAAGTATCGCGGTGTATTGTATTGGCCTGAATGTATTTTACCTCGTATGTTTTCAACCTTTGACGTGTGACGATGAAAAACCATATTCGATGGATTCGTTATGAAATATATTCTGATTCTGATTCTGACTTCTCAGAGACTGATGACATCGGTCAGTGAGTGCGACTGGTTGCACAGAGGGAAGGGGTAGGGATGAGGATGGGGATGAGGATAGGGGAGGACAAGGACAGGGAGGGAGGAGAGCGCCGCAGGGAGGAACGAGGGAGATGAGACCAGGAGAGGAGATGGCGAAAAGGGGCAAGGAAAGAGGGAGGAAACAGAGAATAATAACGTGAAGAACAGTCGAGGAGCAGTTATTTCTAATTGGGATAAGAGCATAGCCCAGAGCTGACACCTGACTTTTGACCGAGCAGCGACAAACTGACGAACCGAAAAGAGACACCCGCTTGGACATTTGTGGCGTGAGAGCTGCAGCCGGGAGCCAGGGAACGATGGAAAACGGTCAGAGCGGGAATAATGCAGGCTAGGGCGGGGCGGGGCTCGGGAGGGAGTTTAGGGCGGCGGCTCGGGAGGGAGTTACCGGGGAGGCCCGGACAGGGCGGGGGTAGCTGTGGAGGGAGCTAGCGCTGGCGGATGTTGCGGTGACATCATGGCTGACGTGCCCGCCCCACCGCCCAACGCTCAGTCTGACGCCACCATTCCCAGCAAAATGCCACCAAACAGCGCAAATTGCAGACCGCACCGGCCAAAGTGCAGGCAGTCCGTGCACATTCGCAGCCGGCGATGCTTGCCACACGGTATAAACGTGACGTCCCTGTGACCTTTGGGTACGGATTGAGCAACGGCCTAAGCTCACGTCCGATTTAAGCATTACTCAGCCCAGCTACAGCCCCGATACTGATCACGTATAGAGACTCGAAATACGCACTAAGCCGAGCTACGCCGGCCAGAGACGTTTCCATTCTCTTCTCATCTGTAATACATTTCTGCAAGAAGGCAGGAAACATGCCCAAAAACGGAGTCGCCGTAGGGGCGGGCTGGTTTTCAGTATGTACTGGCTCAAGGAGGACGTGGCGAGCGTAGTTTCGAGCCGTCGTATATCTAGATGAGACGGGCCCGGCGTGCTGAGGCGGTCTTATGTTTATACAAACGGAGCGGCGTGCAGCGAGTCAAGGCACCAGCGTCCAACGGTACGGCACGGCTCTGCCGACCCGTCACCGGGCGTGCAACGACGGTGCACCAGCACCAGTCTCCGGGCACCAGCAGCCCGATGTAACTAACCAGCGACGACCGCACCACCACCAGTCTCCAGGCACCAGCAGCCTGATGTATGTACTGTTCCAGCAACGGCTGCACCAGTATCAGCACACTGGGCACTAGCTACCTACCCGACCACGCGATGTACCGTCACCAAACCAACGAAGTCGACACCAACTGCCCGTGCGACAAAGCTTGAATCGCTTCGACAGGATTATGCAGGAAACAGGAATATTTGACTTTTCAGAATAGCCTTTTCGCAACCTGATGGCGGTCAGCCTCAAGTCAAGCCTCAAGTCACTTACCCCAATACCCAAACTCTTATATCCCTATGACATGCGTCACAAGAATAAATATCACAACCAGCTGCCGTCGCACAAGCAGATGCTGCAGCCTGCAGTAGCCACGTTGCAACTAGCAGCTACAAAACTAACCAACTGCAGGCACGGTAAACAATAAAAACAAGATCAGCAGCAGACTGAAAAACAAATCGACAGTCAACCGAACGAGCAGATCTTGTTCCCCAGCTGGGCTAGTGTAGGCTAGGAAAACTCATAGTGAGTCCACGGTATGAGGAGCTCTACCAAAGCTGAGGGAGCCCCACGAACATTCACGGATAGTTCAGACCCAGGATTCTACTAGAAAGCGAGCAGTCTATACTCAAAGTGACCAGGCACTGCTTTCGGACTTAATAAGCGATGAAAGTCGAGCCATTGACAGACATCAATCAATGTCCACTTCACGATCATGCCACTATCAATCCCCATTCCATATTCCAGTGAAAATTTAGCACCGCCGATTTCCGAGACTTCCGACTGGGTTCCATGGTCGGTCCTCCCAAGATGCCAGCACGGACATGATGCAGGTAAACCGCGCCGCACGTGCCTCCTGCACGTGACGGCACGTGACCGCCGTGCACAGCCTGGAATGCACGTGAAACCGGCTCACGGTGAGCGAGTTGGCTCTAGCCTCGACCCTGCAGTCGGCAAGGAATGCCACCCCTGACCCCTCCGTCAGCCCTGAGCCCGTGCCTTTCATGGCGAACCACAGCGTGGTTCAGCCTCCGTACCCCACGCCCCAGCATGGCCGGAGTTGTAAGGAGCGAGCTTGCAGTGCAGATGGGAGGGCGAGATCGTGCTCACTAACGAGACGAAATGAAGACGGCAATCATCTTCGCCCGCCCATGTCACTAACGAGGACGACCGCCTCCGACATCAGCTAAGTTCGGTGAATTCTTACTGCTTGTCATCAGCGTCCAGCGGGCAGTCCAAGGAGTGACAATGAAGTGACACAAGTTCTGTGTCACAACGGATGAGCCAGGTGGTCCCACAGCGGCCCATGGCAGGCCGGCCAGATGACACGGCGGTTGAATGCTTTCACAAGCGCACGTGTTTTTTGTGCGGTTTCCATAGACGGCGAGCGTTGCTCAGCTCGGCTGGATTACATGAAAGGCCGATCAACGAGTGCTCAATGTCAGGCCACGGTCAACAAACAGCACGGCATTGAAAGCTGCGTCTGCTTTGCTGGATCTCACATCTCACACAAATGAGTCATATTGGCATAAACCCGACTCGTGTTTTACCAATATCACTCGCTCGCTGCCAACCACGCCTCATTCCGTGCAACCACGAGCAGATATCTCTCTGAAGTCGGCACTGAAGCCAAACACTAGCGCTCGGTAACGGAGCCATCAAAGCGAGACACGGGTGCAGGGTCGGATCACTTCTGAAAATCGGCACCGGCTAAGCCAAACCTCTCTGTCGAACAGCGCGAATAGCGGTTCGCCGACATGGGGTCAGGGGCGCTGCAGCGCGCGGGCACACCTCACCCTGCGCCGCCCCTGGCGGATGGCCCACACCCTCAGCTTAGTGAAAATCTCCCGTTAAGCGGCTGCCCGGCCTTGGTAAGCACCTGTCCACAGGCTGACAAGTCGACAATCCGCTCAGCGCCGCGGGATTTGGATGGGCACCTCTCACCACCGGCATTTGTGGGCTAAATCCGGAGCCTGAGGCCGCAAATTGGACGGTGCGATTCGGTGACAGTCAAATAACTGAAAGCCGGATGGCTTAAGAAAATCTGGGGAGAATGTCAGGCTTGGCTGACTATCGACTCTTCAGATAGACCACCCATTCGTTGTTGCCATGAGCTCATTTGAGTGCGTTTTGAACCAATGCGTCGAACCAGCGAGCGAAGCTTGACTGGGGGCTGTATAGGCGCGTCCCCGAGGATGTAAGGTACCCGCTAACGAGCCGGTGTCAGTAGCAGTGAACTAGTGAGAACCCCGACCAGGGCCAGGTCCTTCGCCGGGCGCTGGGGGCGATCTCACGGCCCCTCTGACTCCCATAGTTGACTGTAACAGCACGCAGAATGTTCGCAGCAGTCACCGCAAAGTCGCCTGTCGGCCGGAATACCGTACCGCTAGGTCAAAACATCTCTCTGCTCCCAGAACGTCCCTCTCTCCTCTCTCCCTCTGTCTGCCTCTCTCCAACTCTCCCGCTAATCCTCCCGGCTCGCGGAGCTCTGAAGACTGCAGCGCAGCCCGTCTCGCCACCACCATCAGGATGCAACATGTTTGCTTTTCTTCGTCCAGCGCACCCGTCCTCCGCAGTTGAACGCAAGGCCGAATAAAACGCTACGACCCACAGCGAGGCTGACAAAGCTTTCGCAAGGCAAACAAAGCTCGGCACCGGACAAAGCTTGGCAGCTCGCGGCCGGACAAAGCCCCTCGGCGGTGTCTGGTTTCGTCGTGGGCGGTGGAGAGGAACAACAACAGCCCCGGGTTCCCGCTGACCGGCCGCTGACCGCCGGCGAGCGGCTCCGGTGCCGCGCGGTCAGCGCTGACCGGTGCTGAGCTGAGCCGGGCGGGCCGGGCGCCGAAATAGCTGATGGTATCGGTCGACCTCCTGTCAGCGCTCATCACAACATCGGCCGGCCCGGGCGGGGCGTAATGTTACAGATCGGAGTCCGATCGGGGTTCAGCATCGGTTTCTGAGACCCGTGCAGTCTCAGCCGGCCACCGTAGGGCGTAAAACCCCTGTTGAAAAGGTCAAATAAGGGGGCCATCTTACGATACGACCCGTGTTGATTGTTGAAAAGATCAAATGAAGCGGGTTATCTTAGAACCCGCGCTGACGCAGCTGACATGTGACGCAGCTCCCCCGTCCATGCCGCACGGCCTCCTAAACGACCCTGCCGGGCTGTTCTCGTGAGCTTGACTTGTGGACAATAATATGCCCGTTATGTCTCCAGCACTAATACCGATTAAAGTCTGTAGGTGTTGAGTTATGGGTTCCCGCAGATTCAATGTGACACAGACTACCTAATGATAAATACTGGTGCGTACTTCAGCTTCGCAATCCCGATCCAAGCTCTACTTAGCGTAGATTCTAACCCAGGAAATAGGTAAGTTCATTTACACATCATTTTCGAATCCAATAACTTGTTAAGGACAAATTAAATAATCCCTACTTGGATGCAGCGGGTAGTCGGTGTTCAGCTACGGTCGGGAAAAACAACGGACGGACACCAACAGTCAACAGACATAAAAATAAAAAAACGGCCAGTTCATATCGAGCAGATATTCAAATATCCCGTAAAATGTCCATTTGAACCCTTCAAAACACAATAAATCCTTTCGTCCGGAGCATAGTTTTAACTTACCAAAACTCGATTGAACCTCTCCTCGAGCGTCTCCTGGTCAGGCATCGGGACCTTCATCGAGATTGACGTGGCGACAGTGCCCGGCACAATACTGGACGAGTAGTTATTCAAACGTTTCTCCATTGTTCTTCTGTATTCTTCTCTTTCAGCTATGCTTTCAGCATTACCCATGATGCACAGATAATATCAAGATGGTCTTAATGTACAAATATTGTTGTTTGTGATGCCTCATGCAGAGAACAAGTCATCCCCTTAGGAAGCGCGTGAAACGATGACAAATCAAGATTCGATACAACTTAAGTTATAGAGCACCAGTCACCACACACTCATATATGGGTATAAAGGTCCAGGTTCTGCTAGAACCAGAAGGCAGCACGGTTCCTTCCGGCCTCAAGCGCAAAACGGTGCTGGTGCAAGCTGAAGCGGGCGAACGGTAGACGCAATGGTATTTTTCACCCTGGACGTAATTAGAGCCAGTTTTCAGTTTCCAGGCTACAGCCACAATCTGCTTGCCCTGACACCAGTCCCACGATGATCAACGTCCATAAACTACCTAATCGACATAAAACCAGCACTGCCACGAGCGACGCGTAACACAACCCCCCCGCACGGCTCCCGCCACAACACTGAGTCCAAACTGAGTCTGAGTCTGCGCAATAATTGTCTCCAACACAACAAGCAGACAGCCAGCAGAAGTAAAAGTCGACAATAATTCTGACGTCATATCAAACTTTTTGATATCTTTTTGCGTTTTATCAATCATATTAGCTCTTTTTTCTATTTGTATATTATCTCAAACGAAAAAAAAATATTTGAATATCAATTTTTAAATTCAGAAATTACTTTTTATTTCATAAACGTCATTTTGATAAAAGTATTTTAGGAATAGAGATGGTCAAAGGCATACTGCGCCAAATACTTGTCTAATCTGTCACGAATATGAGGCTCTCTCTATCGCCTGGATAAAAATAGGCCCCGCCCATCCCAATCAGCTGCTGCATGACGAGTTGATGACGACAACCACTACTTACCAGCAACCAATCTAGGGATAGCGTACGTGACAGTAATGGTGCAGCGGTTGCAAAATATTACATTGTTATCACTGAGCTCATTGTTATTCAAACGGTTTTTGCTTTTAGGGCCTTGTTAGATGAGGATGAGGTTAGATTAGATGAAGTGTTGATGAAGGCAGGTATTTTTTTTTTAATATTTTTTTGACAATTTTTTGCCCTTGTTTTACTTAATAGCTGAACCTGGGACCACCTGAAGTCTAAACCTTATTTTATATAACATGTCAATGCTGATGCTGTCTTGAAATGTGAAATTTAGACAATGGTAATAGGAATAATGCATATCAATTTCACCAACAACATTTTAATCTCTAGGAAGTGCAATTAAAATTAAAATCACTGTCTGCCACACTGCTCCATCCTGGTCATGGTCATGCAACCAACGTTCATGGGTGGTGTTTCACGGCAGAGCACGCAATGCAGTGCTCAGCACTGCAGTGCGCTGCGTGTGTCAGAGCATTGAGTTTCCATGGCAGTGTCAACAAACTTCACTGTGACGCTAAGCTATGACAGCATCCCAGAACGCTAGCATGCTGCGGTACCAGCACCAGCAGCATGCTAGCAGTATTTGAACTCAAACCTCTGTTCTTGGTACGGTTTTTCAGAACCTCTCACTCTGTTCCAAACGCGATTGATCATAAACTAAGAGATCACATGCAACGTCATTTGAGTGATGCTATGGTATGCCGTAGCTACCAGTGCACACAGTGTCTGGATGGTGAAACAGGGCCATTATTAATCACATTTGCTTTGCTTTGTTTCAGCAGAAACCTGTCTGCACATGGGAGGAGCGCAACAAAAGCCCATCAAGTTCATGCATGGCAGTGGATCTCAACAGGAGAAAACCAGAAAGAACATGGATGTTTGTAGATTGCAGTTGTACACTGCTGTTATCACCTGATGTGTGTGGCTGGCATTGCTCCTGGCAAGAACCACCTGCAACTGATGAGATGGTGCCTCAGTCGTTGAGTGTGCTGCAGTGTGAGAGGCGCCCTGATCTCTACTTTGTGATGGGTTTCCATTGGAGGTTCAACTGAGAAGTGAGAACTGACTGTGACCATGCTTGAGCATGCCAGTGGAGCTTTACATGCTTAGGGCAGCTTTTGAACAGATGCTGACCATGGCATGTCCCATCCAGTTATCACGTGCACAGAATGGTGGGGGGAGGGCAACTCTGGGCTCTTGAGTCAGCCCTACTGCACAGGGGGTACAGATGGCCGCTTACGTTTGGTGTGTCCTGCACTGCATTATCAAGCCCAGTCTGCGCCACAGGCAATGGGTCGGGCTGCACTATATTAAAGGCAGACTATCTTGCAAAGGAGGCTGGCATCCTCTCCCATAATGACACACCAATTGGCAATCATCGCTGCGATGATCACGAGGGTGTCTGCTTATCTAACATGGTGAGGTGGAGAGCCAGTTCAAGCTGGCCTGAGGGATGGTTTTACTTCATCTGAGGCCCCCTTTCCCCGCCTGCCAGGCCCGGTCAAACGACCGCTTCACAGTGAACGACTTGCAGTGGATGCCGTCCCACAGCGCAACGAGCGCGCCGACCAGAGGCGGCTGATTGGCCAAGAGGCGGCCGCGCTGGACGGTCCCGGTGGACGTCGGCAACGCCCACCGCGCGACCATCAGATCGGCTCGCGACAGCGCCGTCGCCGACTGACCGCATGACTGGTATCTGTTCTTGATGTGGGACCGACTGCCACCGCCGGTCGCGGAAGGGCATCGCTCATCGGCCATCGACGTCCGCCAGCTTCGCGTGGGTCACTGTTCGGGCTGCCACCAATACACCGAATCGGATGGAACCCTGTCGGCGAATGCCGGCGGTGCCCCGACATCGACTGCGCGGCGGCCAGTGCATCGCGTGCCGGGAGGAGGCTGGCACCCCCGATCGGTCATTGGTCACAAACCGTGTCCCAGCTCATGACTGCATCCAGCGCAGCTCTGTGAGATGTTCTGCAGCTGCTGCAGTCTGCCGCGTGTGTTGAAAGAAGAATGAACATGAGAAAACCTCAAAACTTTATGCCTATTCGTAATTGACCAGTATTGGAATAAGTTTGGATTTTGAGAATTTGTGTCCCTGTGCTTGTGCCTGTGTGGAAAGGCATGCTTTACGGTGTACCATCTCAATGTCAAATCCCGGCTGCGCTGTGCGGATTTGTGCGGCTGCTGACAGGCCACCTGGGTGCCAACGTATGTGCGAATCCGCGAATACGTTGTGTTTCGTCAGTCAGTATCGTTCTGAAAATATTGACTGCAATAGGCTATATAGCGTATGACGGTTCAGCCCAGCAGTAATAACTGACCATTGATTGGGCGATTTTTGGGTGGTGGTTCGCTAATACATAACCTAAAGAGTGTTTTGCCGGAATCGTTTAGTAGCAGAACTGACCGGAATATAAGTAGAATGCAACGGTTTGACTAATCGTTAATTTGTTGAAACGATTGCTCTCTGAGACCACTGTGTAACTTTTGACCTGAGAATCACCAATTATAACGACAATGGGGAAGCAGTAGGCTGTACTGTAGAGTGTAGGCAACACTATATAGTTGGCACACTTACGGAAGCACACGACTTACGCAGTGGACATCTGCATCATGCATGTTAAGGTTTACTGGGAAGAGTGAGAAATTAGTCAGAATATAACTGACTAAGGAAAATAGGCGACATTTCCTATTGAGCTGGGGCGGAGAGGGGGAGGGGGCGTGTGGTCAGCTATGCCAATAATTCATTCTCTTTATGCAGCTGTGTAAAAGGGCGTCCGTTTTTGGGTGAGACCTTCCCCATCGGCCATTTCCAAGTTAAATCGTGGTGGAGAGTCTGGAGACCTCAGCCTCGGTAGTCGGTACCCTACGCGCTGCGCCACCTTGCGAAACATAAAGCAGCAGTCCTGACATCTACAGGCGTGACTTTTCATGAAAGCGCGGATGTGTTCGCGCTTATGCGAAGAAAATTCTTCCGAGTATGGTTGATAATGAGATTAATTGTTGTCATTTATTTATTAATTCATTGGCAAAAGTACCCTAATAAATCGGTAAAATAGCTTGAACTGTATCGTATTTCCTTGGGAAAAAATGACGAACTCATCCTAAGACATCCAGATTATTGGATGCGTTCGTCAGTTGTAAGTAGTTCAAGTTTTTGGGAAAATTTGCTTGTGGAAAATCATAATATTTCAAAGATATGCCTATTTTCGAATAATTTATGCATTTATCTGCATTGAAAAATGATTGTAAAGCAAAAGTGCAAAAGATTATTGTCAACTTATTTTCTCAAATCACGATTTACGAACGCACAAAACTCCAGCTTTTAATTTAGTGCGTGTGCGAATTGCGGTCAAGAAAAAATATTTAAACTGTCTATGTTCCTCTTAAAACAATGAAGGATGAATGAGGAAAACGCTGTTTTGAACAATTGTATATTTATTTTTTCTTAATTAAGCAAAAGTACAAAATTTTCAACTATTATTACATTTGCTCTCACAAAACCCATCACTTTTTAGCATGACGTCATGTCAGCCAAATTTACTAGCGCCATCTCTGGAGAGCATCTTTCGAAACCTCCAGACGATAGAGAGAGCCGAATATGACTGCTATAGCACATTAGCACCGTTTTGATTAGCACTGGCACGCGAGAATCGTGGCCGAAGCCGTATATCGTGATATTCATTTGGCAGGTGGATTTCGTAAGGTTTTAATGTGATATTTCTGAGTATTAGTGACGTAAGGTAGCTACTTCATGACATAAGCTTGAGCTAGTCGCGCTCCCTCAGACCAACTTCCCTCACTGACTTCCTTCACTGACTTCCCTCAGACCAAACAGCTCTCCAGGACCCGACTCCATACAGCCTCGAGTCCTCCGCGAATCTGCAAGGACCCTCGCGATGCCCCTGAGCACACTATTCAGGAAGTCACTGGATGCTGGAGCCCTCCCCCCAGAATGGAAGACCGGAGAGATCACCCCTATCTTCAAGAAAGGAGACCGTCAGAACCCCTCGAGTTACAGACCTATAACACTAACGGCCATCCCCGTCAAAGTCCTGGAGTCAATCGTCCGAGACGCCCTCCTCCAGCATATGTGCACAAATGGTCTGCTTGACAGCGCCCAGCACGGGTTCCTCCCAAAGAGGTCCTGCACTACCCAGCTGATGGAAGCGATGGAAGATTGGAGCTGTGCTCTCGAAAATGGCGAGGCCATTGACATCATCTACTTGGACTTTGCTAAAGCCTTCGATTCCGTGCCGCACAAACGATTGATACACAAGCTGTACGCCTATGGTGTCAGAGGAGCCCTTCTCAATTGGATTGCGGCCTTTCTGGTCGGTCGTCGACAGAGGGTCGTGGTCCAGGGAAGTAAGTCCCCTTGGGCACCGGTGACGAGCGGAATTCCCCAGGGATCGGTCCTCGGACCTGTGCTGTTCACTATCTTCGTCAACGACCTGCCCTTGGAAGTGTCTGGCTCAGTCAAGCTTTTCGCAGATGACACTAAGCTTTATCGACAAGTGCCCGGTACCGGCACAAGCCTCCAAAGCGACATCGACGCACTCGTCCGATGGTCCG